AATGATGAATTTTACAATCATTGTAATCAAGCTTACCAGAAATTAAAAGCACGCCTAAATACTTGACTGGAAGTGGACCAACTTTGAAGCCCGACTTCTCTTTTAATCTTTCTCTAAATCATCAGAAACTCCTGCATGATAGAGCTCACTCTTTGCAGGATTACATTTCAACCCGGAAAGATGATGAGAATCCTTAAGAATATGGAGTTAATAGCCTGCAAATATTCTAAAGGCCCATTTGTGAATACCACCAAATCATCAGCAGAGCACAAGTGGGTGAGAGATACTCTCCTGCATTGAGGATTATATCTCAGTCCCCCAGTGGCTGCTGCTGAGTTAAGCATACACCATAGAATCCCCATAGTAATGACAAATAGGTAAGGGGGGAGTGGATCCCCTTGCCTAAACCCCCCCCTTTCCTTAAAAATAATCACACAAGCCACCATTGATGAGGATAGAGTATTTTGTGGAAGTGACACAAGTTTACAACTGAATCAAAACTTCCTTAAGAATGTAAAAACGAAGTCGGAAAATCCATAGCCATTAACACATTGAAAAGAAACTTCCGTTCTACTGAATCAAAAGCTTTGATTATATCTGTCATCGAAGAACTTCTTGGTGTCAAATTATTCCTACGGTAGCCTTTCACAACCTCCTGAGAAAGCATAACATTAACTCCAATCTTTGTGCCTTCTACAAATGCAGATCGATTCAAACTAATGAGATAAGGCAAGCATCTCTTCAACCTATTAGTTATAGAGTCTTCGAGATTAATTATAAATACTAGTACCTCGTCAGCCTTGCCAGGTAAGTTCTGATAAAAATTCAGAATTTCATTCTGAATATCCCCAGGAGCAGTGTTCTGTTCACCTACATTGTTATGAAGAATTGAAATAGCATTCCTAGATCTTCTAGCTCTTGTATTTTATGGCAAAAACCTGTGTTAGCATCTCGTCCTTGCAGCCAAGTCACCCTTGATTTTTGTTGAAAGAAAGATTCCTCTGCCGCAGAGTATCTTACTAGAAGAGCAGAGAGCTGCTACTTCCTAACCGTTAGATCTTCTGTAGGAGAGCTCATTAGAAGAGATTTTGTATTCTCCAAATCCACTCTGGTTCTTCTTACCATTTCCGTAACATTCCCATAAAAATTAGCATTCAGATTCTTCAAAGGAGGCTTTAAATTCTTAAGCTAAAAAATTTTAAAAAATTTTAAAATTTAATTATTAAAATTAACTAAATATTAAAAGATTAAATTAAAAAAATAACAATTATAAGTTAAAAAAAAACCTGAAAGTGCTTAGGCTAACTACCTAGCGTATGAGTTAAATTATAAAATCAAGATAACAAAAAAAAATAAAGAAAATAACATAACCTAATACTTTTTTTAAAAAAATAACTCACTAATAAATGTTAAATTATGAGATGAAAAAAATTAGAAAAATAACAATTATAAATAAAAAAAAAGCTTAAACGCATACAAGTTAACTTGTTAACCTAACCATTCAAATTATTAAATTAGGATAATTTTTCAGTAAAAAAAATTCACAAAATCGAATTTTTTAAAAGATAAAATGATAAGAGATGAAATTACAAAACATATTAATTAGAGCTTTGTTGCTGGTTGCGTTTTTTTTTTTGAAGAAAAAGTTGATATTCAATTAATAAAAGTATTTTTTTTAAAAATAAATAATATTGAATGATTAAAAAAAAATCAATGTTAGTCGTTGTTAACCTATTAAGTTTTTAACCTGAAGCATTTGATTGAAAGTAAAAATTTTAAAAAAATTTAAAATTTAATTATTAAAATTAATTAAATATTAAAAAATTAAATTAAAAAAAATAGCAATTATAAGTTAAAAAAAAAACCTGAAAGTGCTTAGGCTAACTACCTAGCATATGAATTAGATTATAAAATCAAAATAACAAAAAAAAAAGAAGAAAATAACATAACCTAATATTTTTTTTTAAAAAATAACTCAATAATAAATGTTAAATCATGAGATGAAAAAAATTAGAAAAATAACAATTATAAGTAAAAAGAAAAAGCTTAAACACACACAAGTTAACTTGTTAACCTAACCATTCAAATCATTAAATTGAGATAACTTTTCAGTAAAAAAAATCACAAAATTTAATTTTTTAAAAGATAAAATGATAAGAGATGAAATTACAAAAAAATTAATTAGAAAATTAATATAAAAAATAATAATTAAAAAAATAAAAATCAAATCTAATATAAAAATTAAACCAAATAATATTTCATTCGATGAAACCAAAAAAAAATATTAATTAAAAAAATAAAGATCATATTTAATATAAAGACTAAATCAAATTAATTTTTTTAGGGCTGAAAATGAAAAAAACAAATATCGATAAAAAAAATAAAAATAAAATCTAATATAAAAATTCAACAAAACTTAATTTAAAAGGATAAAATTAATAAGAAAATCTCAAATAATCAAAGATCAATAAAAAGAACAACGACTATAACTGAAATGAAAATCGAATAGAAGAATGCACTTATTTTTTTACCTGTCCAGCACGTATCCTGAGCCCATAAGAGAGAAAAAACGGGCAAAAAAAACCTGGAAACCACCAATAACAGCCATACATGTGTCAGCCCAATGGAAGTGCTGCTATTTTCCAGTGACATGATAATATAGTGTTTTTATCCACCATATCACATGTCATGCACCGCTTGAATGCAGTGTCTTCGCCTCACACGCAAGTATGTTCTCATAAGATGCTTTTTTTTTTTTTTAGATTTTATACCTATAAAAAAACTAACCTAACCCTCATTTGTACTGTTTTTAATGTAAAAACAACAATAAAAAATCCAAAAAGCTCTCAGTAGTAATTACTGTGCAACCAAGGATCAAAAAAACCTTTCAAAGCAAGTTATTTTTTGTCTTTATTTTAAGGGCATTATAGTATTTAGACTGTTTATTTCAGCAGGAAAAGACTAACCTGACCAACAATGACAACTGAATCCATATGAAAAAACAATCTCACCTCATCTACAAAGACAATTTTTCAGTGAGTGAAGGGGCAAAATAGTAATCTGGACCTATGTTGCAGTGAAAATTCCAGGCAGTTAGGTTTTTGTATAACTAGTTTTAATTAGACTTGGGCTGTGATCAGAAACTCACAATTTACTTGTTAAACCATGTAAAGAAAAGACCAGCACTGGGGTGATCATGAAGGTCTAGCAGCTTGAGCGGAATATCAAAACCCTCCGTTTCTCATATAGAAAAGTCAGCTTCTGATGTAGTCTCATGAGGGCCTCTAATAATGTTGAAATCACAAGTTAACACCTAAGGAGACTGCTGTAGATCAACCTTCACTTCTTCATAAAGCTTGTTCCTTTCACGTAAGATGTAAAGAGCCATGTACGAAAGTACAAAGACAAATATAGCTTTTTGATGCATCAAATATTTGATAGTGAACAAATTGACCGTGCTTACTAAGAACAAAGAAAATCAAAGTAATATAAAATTATTTCTTAAAAATCATTCAATAGCTAGAGATTTTAAGTTTAAATGATTTTGATGATTTTGTTGCACAGTATCAGATTGTTTACAATCAAACAATGAAGAATTTGAAAGGTAATGATATACATTTTCAAGTTTCATGCCCAAAGGTTTTTACTAGAATAATTAGGTTAAAGTGTAATATAAAATCATTCGCCTCAATCAATACCTTAATTTTTCAAGTTAAGATGATTTTTTAACAAAATTTTAAACTTAAAACACAATCTCCAGGTGCGGAAATTAACCATTTGGATGGTGTGGAGAAGAAACTTTACTCTCTACTGTCGTTCAGAGCCTCGCAGCCTGAGCATTCTTGCTATTCTTCTTACTTTTCCTTCCTAGATTTTGATTTTCTTTTTTCAATTGTTGTAAGATGGCATTCACTCCACTAGTAGCAGTCAATCTTGTCTTCCTTGGAGATGATTTAACATTGGTCATAACAGGAGGAATATTGAGTTCAATCATAGCACAAGAGACATCTCCAGCTACAACTTATGCAGTCTTGTCCGATATTAACAGCATACAACATGATGTTCCTTCGAACTGACCAGGCAGTGAAAGAACCTCAAATGACTTAAACAGTTGGAAGGGGCTACTCTTTGGAACCCACTCCTGTTTATGCTCCTTTTTTTGGAAGAAGTCGATATATTGAGAAGGGGATACTCTTTGGAAGAATTTTTCCTCGGATAACTGCTCCTGCTTAGGCTCCTCATTAGGGGCTACTCTCATACCTTCAGGAGTCAGGACAGTCTTGGCTTTTGATGGAGGAGCAGTTATCCGAGGTTAGGCCATAGGCCCATAACTATTACACAAGCTTCTGAATGTCTCGCTGCCACTGCCATTTGAGAAGAGGGATATTGGCAGCTTTCATGCCAAGGGCTAGGCCTCCCTCCAGAATCCACATCATTTTGATAATTAGGAGGAAAAAAATAAAATAAAAATACAGCCCCCGTTTTTTTTTTTTGAGAAATTTGCCTTGATGGTTAGCTATGAATCTATCTATATATTAATTTTTATACCAAAAAAAAAAAATCTAATAAACGTGGAAGTATGTTAATATCACCATCTTTCAGCTAGTTATATGATTGCACATCAAAGTTGTAAAACCTAGCCCATGACTGATTTGGGAAAAACTTGGCTTATGAATTATGAGGGTTAACTAAGGTTATTGAGTTTTAATCGAATTAATCAATTTTTTTTAATTTTATTTTTTTAACCTGAACTAATCTAAATCCTGTTCTATTAAGTTTTAGGTTCACCCACAATACAGGATTCATAAAAGTGTTGCAGATAATTTAGCACAAAATATGAAAATAAATTTGATATAGGCATAAGAATGAAAAAAAAATAATCAAAACCTCAAGGGGGTAATTAAAAAATCTGCAATCCTGGAAGAGAACTGACAGAACTTCTAAACTTAGGGGATTATTTTGTAGTTTAACTCATTGTAAAACTAGAATATAGTTGTCAACAAAACCAAACACCTCCTTATTATTAAAAAAACCGACCATCACTCCCTGCACCTAAAACACCAGCGGCAATCTCCACCTCCGGTGAAGAAAGCATCGCTAGCTAGTCGACAAAGCCAAAGCAAAAAAAAGAAAAGAAAAGAAAAGCCCTTTTGCAGTACATGGTTTCTTAACTGCAACGTAATCCTGCTTCGTGGGTTGGCTCCAAAAAGCAACGTCCCTCTCTCAAAGATAAAAGTACTTTTTTTTTCTTTTCTTATAAGTTGTTAAGAGTTATTAATTAGCTTTCAAATGTACTTTTTGGATCTCATCTGTTAAACCCTAGCCTAAGCCCTTGGTTCTAATGCTGAATTGATGTGAAGTTATGAGTTTATGCAGCAGAGTGATTTTTTTTTTAAATTAGTTTACAATTTATGCAATTTTGGGTTCGAAATCAATCAGGGCTTTTTTTTTATATATATATTGTTTGAGAAGTGAATAAACTGCGGTAGTGAGATTTTTTTCAAAAGATATTGGCAAATTATTAATGACAAGGATTTTCTGTTGCTGTGTTTTTTGTTTTGTTGTTAGGATTATCAGCAAAAGATAGAGTTGGTTCGGGATCTAACGTTTCCAACCGCTAGGAGTAGAATTAAAGTGACCCCAGATGGAGAATTTCATATTGCGTCGGGTAAATGGTTTTTTAGTTTTAATTTGTATGAGAATTTCTTGAAAGGTAACGACTGTACCTGCAATATGATTTGCTAATTAATTTAACTAAAATGCGGGAATATACCCACCGCAAATAAAAGTGTACGAGTTAAGACAGTTTGCATTGAAGTTTGAAAGACACTTTGATTCTGAGATAATTGATTTTCAGGTTTTCTGAAGTTTTAACATACTGTTTCTATGAAACTATTGTAATTTCCTCGTGGTGGCATTGGCAGCTATCATCATCTTTACTTGAGAGGATGAGTGTAGAGTTTTGCCATGATTTTTGATGCATTACTGAGGCAATGATTTGTTTTCTGTTTGTGTAGATATTGGATGATGACTATTCAAAGCTTGCATTTTTATGTGCTGATCGTTCTGTTTACCTACACGCCAAATATGGAAAACGCTACACTTAGTGAATTCCAAGGTTTATATTGATGATTTATCAGTATTTATGCTTTTGTTTCATATTGTGATTTGCTTTTTGTTTCGTGTATTGCTTCATACAGCTAACCATTTCCTTGACATGCTAATGTTATTATGCTTCTTGACTTCTCTGTCAGGTGGATTTTATGTTGTATTAAAGGGAACAAAGGTAACATATGTAAGGCCCTCCTAGTTAATGGGGGGTCCAATATGGTGCCTAGAGTAGAGGGGATATAGAGGTCATAAAGCAAGTAGTTAATTTTGCCTTTACTGGCATTTATTATCTTTTTTGTATTGCTTAGTTGATTTATATGAACTTAATGAGAAGTGTGGTACAAACTTATCGTAGTTGCTGACATCATAATAAGGATTTTTGTCTGATATGAAGCTGAAAGAGGAAAGAATTTTCTAAGCCCTGCCAATAGTTGGAGTCTTGATTTTAGGTGATTCACATTCAATTGAAAGTAACAAACATCTATACACATTGCACGGTGATGAGATAATGTTGAAGAATTTGAAATGCATTAAAGCTTGTTGAGAACTTGGAAAGCTCATTTTGATGTAAGAATGTGTTAACTTGAAATGCTCTACTGAGACTAGATCGAAGGTCATGTGACTCTTGGGTAATGCCCAATGTTTTAGTGAATAAGTTACTCATGGCATGAACATGAGTGCCTTGGGAGATCATAGAGGGAAAAACAGGTGAATATCCAACTAGGATAGGGTTGAATGAAACTTTTGACTGTTACTTCCAAACTTTCGGGATTAATTTTGTACTGTGCATTGGTTGCATCATATAACTTTATGCTGGAGGAGTGCTTTATTGCTTTTTGATGAGAGGATCTCACTCAAAAATGAGATACAAGAGGTTCACTCTGTTGCAGAAAGCAAAAGAACAAAATGAGGCAAATAAGGAACAAGTTCAGTGTCAGTATGAGTCCTCTGCAGTGCCTTAAGTCTGTTTTTCAAATAAAAGACGTATCAATAATGAAATGACATGAAGTACAATCACATGAGGAGAATAAGTCAACCATCAATCTATTGGTGCAACGTATTGCTAACTGAAAAGTGAAAAGAGTGGATAGTTTTCCTTAAGTCTCTCTTAGTAATTCATATGCTTTTTCAGTGGGTTCTTTGATATGCCAGTTGAACATTTATTTCTGGATCATAATGCCAGGTCTAGGAAAATCACTTTGATTCAGTTGATGATGGATTAGGAACTCTGCTTATCAGTTTGTTTTTTGACTGATATCCAGTTTCACTTTTTTCCTTGGGATGTGTCACCTCTTTATTCAGTGTCATCTCTGCCCAAGGGATTGGTTTCCCTGATTATGCATCTCTTGAATTTAAGATAGCAAACTCTCTTAGCTAGACCCCTTTAGATAGCAAATTCTCTTGGCACTCTGGAACTGCGTATCACTTGCAGAGGAGGACTCTCTTCCTCTTGGAGAGAAAGCAGCAGCCCTTGGAGATAACCTGCAGACCTCTGACTGAAATAACATAAAGTTTGGACCAGGAGAATCTCCTGAAATTTTATTCTCTACATGAAGCTCAGCCACATACAAAGAGGGTGGGGATGACAGGACAAAGAAACACGGTGTGACAAGAGGAGTGGAATCCAATCATTAGGGCTGAAGTCTGCTGGATCAGGGTTTAGAGGCAATAGAAGAGGAGGGAGTACTAGGGGGAGGGGTAGAATAGGAGGCCGGCACTGAACATCTTGTGTTCGGATAAATGTGATGACTCACATTCAGCTTTGGCTGTATTGATTTTGGAAGCTGCTTATTGGTGATCTGCAAACAACGAGCACAATCACCAGATGAGCTGGAAAAATTTGTACAGTTAAATTATTCTGTGGAATGCTTAGCTGTTGAGATTTTGCAGTTGATTTTTGTTTCTTCACCTCTATATAGAGAAAACAAATTTCATGGCCATTTTTTCTCCCCTTCTGGAGGGGCAATTTCGTTCGAGAGAGTTGCAACTTTTAACTGTACTGCAGTTGATTTTTGTTTCTTCACCTTTATATAGAGAAAAAATTTCATGGCCATTTTTTCTCCCCTTCTAAAGGGGCAATTTTGTTCGAGAGAGTTGCAACTTTTAACTGTACCATATAAACAATACTTTTCTTTTTCTTGCAGAAGAAATCTGCCTTTACCCTCTTTCAGCGTGGCAAAGATGAAAACCCAGATTGTAATCAGTGTAGGCGGTGACAGTCCTCGGAGATGTTCCTGATCAAAATATTTCTTTCCATGTTATCAATTTTGGTTTTTGAAGATCATCATTCATTGTCGTGGGATTGGAAGTTCTTATGCCGATAGGATAGATCTACTGAGGATACTCTGTACATGCATGGAGGAGCTAAAACACATTAATTTCTTTGGTTCAATCGAAGGCATTGCCTTCCTGCCATTGGAAAAAAAGCATCTAGAATTTACCTCTTTCGAGATGTGCATCATGTCAAGTGATTTTACAAGCTAGCTACAATATGATTTTGTATATCTTTGGCTATGTTTACATGAATCATTGAATCTCTAAAGAGCAGTCTGATCGATCCTATCTCTGTTATCATTGCTAATTCCATATAAGTAGAGTTCTCCTTACAGGCAGTCTGATCCTTCTTTTCTCTTCCTCCCAGAAGTTATTCCGTCGAGTTTATTTTATGAATTTTGAGAAGATTAAACATGGAATGTCCAAGCACAAAAAAGAGAGGGCAACTGCTCAAAAAGAGCTTGTAGCTCTACTTCCATAATAACAAAAAACAGGGATATGCCTAATTAGCTAGTTTCTAGAAACTCTGACTTTGGGAAAAACCAGAAGTCTTGGATTATATCATGCTAATAATTTTTTTAAAAAATCCCTTCAAATCCCTTGGAAGGCTTGGGTTGGAAATGAGAAAGCTGCCTGCCTCCACACGGCAAGCTCATGTACACGAATAATATATTGGGGAAGCTCGTGGTTTCGATACGCAAATGTTTCTTAGGACTCGTGCATGCCATGCACATTTCACAATCACCTCATGAGTCTAACCTTTGGAGCACAAGCTCTTTGGAAGCAGAAGACAAATAATGGCAAAAAGAGACATCACTGTCATATATGTGGATAAGACCGAACCTAGACTGTTGGAGCTGCTCATATATTGGAGTAATTAATTTCCTAATTCTGTATTAAACCACTAAGAGAGGGAGTGGAACATGTCACTCATGAGCTCACCATTTACCATATATTTGTTCCATTTGGTTTGTGAGGTCATCACCTTATAATTAATCCCATTTAGGAATTTGTTAATTATTGTTACATAGATCATAGTATATGTTAGTGGACAGTGCCACTATCAACTTGTTCAAATCTTGAGATAAAAAATGGATGCTCCTTCGTCATTTGTGTCATCCATTTGAGCCAGCCAATACACACACACTCTTCTGATAATAAAAATATAAGGAATTTATATATTGGAATTCGACCAAGATTCGTTCTTCATATATGGTTTAATATTTCAATAGCATCATGATTAATTCCATGTTTTAATGTAGTATATAGCGAAGATGAAAGAAACTAGAGTTTCATAAATCCTAGAATGATAGAAAGAATTCTAAGTTTTTAAACTCTGAAAGCTATAATTCTAATACAAATGACGTATAAATTATTTAAATAGTAAGATAAACCTAGCTAATTAATAGAAGCTGAATTAAATGAAATTTTCAAACCTAATTAAGAAATGAATATGAAGATAGCAAGAAAAAATAAAGAAAATTCTGAATCAGTAACTTCCACACCAAATTTGAGCATGAAAACAGCTTCAACGAGCTCTTGCCTGCTGACACCCTATACAATTTAGTCTATAGAACATACGTGTAAAATTTAAGTTCGATCAAATAATAAGATTAAAATTTATATCCATTTCCATTAGCAAGACTCCTTTTAGTTTTAGATATGTCAATCTAAGTCTGTAAACCTACATGCTAAACATTTCATACCAGCTATATGCATATCACCACGCCATATTTTCACATACTTTCTAGTGAAAGTTAATGCATGCACAAGTATATAATTAATTTAATATACTTCTAGACAAATATGATTGCATATTGCTAAAGAATTCGTACCGCACCATATAAACAGAATATAGGCAAGGAAGTTAGGTAAAATCTCATTTTCTTAATCCTCTTGCTATAATATAAAGTATCAATTAAAAAAACTTGGACATTAATTTTAATTTATTTAGTTCTCCTCCATCTAGTAACAAACGATAAGGTATCTATATATGTGTATGTGTTTGAGTTGTGAGTTTCTACATATAAGTCATCATCGATAGTCTCACTTGCTTAGCAAACTAGTTGAGTTTCAAAAAGCCTAAAACCTAATCCAAAATGTTAGAATTTTCTCCTACTACTTTGTTTTCAACATTTGGATGGCCCTTAGAGGAACCCATAAGCCATGAACAAAACTACAGCTTTAGAGATTGTGAAACTCCAGGGTCATTCACTCACATCCCTCAGCCAAATATAAGAGAGCTTGATCGCTCCACCTCATTCACGGCCTATAGTGGAAATGGTGATCCTAACATGGTTAAGAAGCTTAACCACAACGCTAGCGAACGTGATCGTCGCAAGAAGATCAACAGTCTGTATTCTTCACTCCGTTCACTTCTTCCAGCTTCCGATGGAATGGTACTATTCTTAATTCATCATAAATTCAAATTTATTAAACAACGTCCTGCCGGCTTGACCCAATACTCCATTCAAGATTAGAGTCATGGATTAAACGATGTAATCCTAGTTAATTTTTTTTTTAAATAGCATTGTATTTATTTTTATTTTTTTTAAAAAATCAAATCAAGTTTTTAACTGTATCAATTGAGTTTAACTAAATTAATTTTTACCCGGTTTAATTTCAAATTTATGTTAGTTAGATTCTAAATAGGTCGAACAACAGGTTGACCCTCAGGCTTGTTGAATAGCCCTGCCTAAATCCTCTAGCATTTTGAATGTCTCTCTTTTTGCATGCTAACTTTTACTTCTGTGATGATACCATTGTAGAAGAAGTTAAGCATACCGTCCACAATTTCACGTGTGCTTAAGTACATACCAGAACTTCAACAGAAAGTGGAGAGACAGATCCAAAGGAAAGAGGAGCTTCTATCAAAGCTATCTAGGCAAGATGATTTAATTTATCAAGAAAATCAGAGAAAAGACACCATGTATAGCTCTTTATCATCGGTATCGGCAAGCCGGCTTGGTGATAGAGAAGTTGTCGTTCAAATTTCCACTTGCAAGGTCCTTAAAAGTCCAATATCAGAAATCTTGCTTAATTTAGAGGAAAATGGACTTGTTCTAATAAATTCTTCTTCCTTTGAGTCCTTTGGAGGCAACGTCTTCTACCATTTACATCTTCAGGTATTACAAAATTTGCTCACGTACGTTTTATATACGTGTCCATTTGTTTCTGTCTTTCTTAAAGTTTATATTCTAATTTATTTTGTGGATTAAATTACAGGTCATGGAAGGAAATTGCACATTAGAGTGCGAGGCTTTGAATGAGAAGCTTTTGTCCATATGTACGAAGAGGGAAACCTTTTTTCTATAAAACTCAAGGGTTTCGATCCTTATTCCAACTTCATGTTCTAGTTTCATGTGTGTGTGTATATCACACTATACTAATTAAAAGCTATGTTAAAAAAAGTAGATATCCAATCCTAACTATACAATTCTTATCAAATCTATAAGAAATCTCAACTGATTAATTTTCTCTTAATATTTTTACTTTGATGGTTCAAAGTCTCCCACCAACATCCCCAGGCAATATTGTGCAAGGAAATAACAAGTTAATTAACAATTTCCCTCTCCATCCCATATTATTTTTCCAATATCCTTAATGATAAAAAGTATAATTTATTATTATTATTTTTCGTTTCCATATTATTTTTCCAATATATATCCATAATGATAAAAAGTATAATTTATTATTATTATTTTTCGTTTCCATATTATTTTTCCAATATATATCCATAATGATAAAAAGTATAATTTATTATTATTATTTTTCGTTTCCATATTATTTTTCCAATATATATCCATAATGATAAAAAGTATAATTTATTATTATTATTTTTCGTTTCCATATTATTTTTCCAATATCCATAATGATAAAAAGTATAATCTATTATTATTATTTTTCGTTTCGTGAATGGAAATTTTTTTTTAATTAATAATTAATGAGAAAGAGGGATACAAGAGTCATAAAGCAGGTGGCTAGAAAAGATTAGAAAAACTACAACAAGAGCATCGACAACAGCAACAGAAAAGTTAGATTTATATGCTAGATTTCAACAGGTAAACTGATTAGTAATTTACTTGTCATTTTTTTTTCATTTAAATTGATTACAAGATTTTATTTTCTATAATTTATAAATAAATAAAAATTTCATCATTTTGCAAAATGAACTAAGACTTGTTGCATGTTTGTGCTCAACATTGAGGTGTCATCGAGGTTAAGTAGTCACCACTTAATTGATTGGTTGAAGGTTAGTAAAACATTTAGATAGACTAGTTTTATATGAAATTTCAAGGATTATGACTAGAAAAGATATTAATACTCCTAATATATTTTATCTGAGATAAGTTGCATTGTGTGGTCTAAATATGATTTAAAGATATTAATAAGTTTCTAACTAGTGGTCTATTTATGGCTCAGAAAAAAAATTTATGCTTATGAATAAATCTTTTATTTTGGATTTATTACTGGCTTGTATGTCCAACTAAATTTTTACAGGAATAATCCATATAGGTACTCTGACGGATTTCATCTATCATAAAAAAGAATATATTTTCTAAAACTTATATGTTATAGTAAAAAATACTCTTAATTAAAATCAATGAATAT